CCGACCCTGTCGGCCGCAGCCTCGCAAGCGCCCGGCACGCAGGAGTTCGCCCCATCGGGCTTCCCGGGCGCCCCCGCGCGGCGGGCGCCGCGCACTACTTGCGCCGCTACGACTGCCGGCCGGCGGGAATGCCCTGCCCAGGGCGCCGCCCGCTCGTGCCCGCAAGTGTGGCCCCCAACGCAGTCAGGCAGCCCGCATACCCCATTCCGGGGAGCGGGGAGGAGGAGCCTGCTTAGAGGAAGGAAAGAACGGCACAAATAGTAAGTGTCGACGGCCCGCGCGGACCAGGCGGGACACACGCGGAACACCCCTGGCCACCGACAGACAACAGGGGGGGCGGGGGGCGGTCTTTTGGCCTGGCGGCGCCCTAGCCAGAGTAGGGTTAATCCGTCGCACCCGCCCACGCAGCTTCGTCTCGCCCGCACGCACGACACGAACACGAAACCGAAACCGATTTCCCGGTGGGGGGGATCTCCGTTTCACTGCGATCTCACCCTCTCATCTCCGATCTAGTTTGATATCACCCCCCTCTCAGGGGCGATACCCCTGGGGGAGGGAGGCAACGGCGGTACGGCTTCCATGCCATCATCAGAATCACCAGATCACCAGGCGGAGCTGCCGGAGGAGCCCTTAAGGGGGTGGTGTTGGGTTTCTCTGGAGGTCTTGGGCGGGGGGGTCTTCTGGAGGTTCACGAGCAGCAGCAGGACCGATCCCCCAACGTCCCTCGGAGACGGCACTGGGAGCTCGTCACCTCTCCCAGCCTCCCCACGACGACCTCAGTCATGAGGAAGTTACTCGGCAAGTCTCCCTTGGAGGTGGGGCCACGCGCCAGTCGCAACGCGCCCCTCGACTCCGCTGGGCCCCCTTGTGTTTCTCGCCTCGGAAGCGGGGCGGAGGAGCAAAAAAAATGAGGACTCGCTCCAAGGCAAGAAAGAATCCCCTTGGAGCCTCTCGAGGGCAGCCAGACTTGATGCCAGAGCGCACTCGCCCCTGCACAGCACCCGCTGTGCTCAACAACGCGAGGAGGTGGGCGTCGAAGCATCGCGACCCGGCGGCACCGCTGCCGAGGGGAGGCAAGGACGTTGCCGTCGCAACATCGGGACGCGGTGGCAGCGTCGCCGAGCTACCGAGAACTATGTACACCGCGTCCTGCGAATTCGGCGCCCCGCTGTGCGTGCCGTCAGGCACGCCGACACGCGCGCGGCGGGGCGGCGCGATCGCCGTCAGGGATCGCCCCCATATCCTGAGGAATAGGAATAGGAATAGACCCGACGATAGGAGGGGGACCTGCAGAGAAGGGGGAACATCGACCAGGCATCGGCGATACACCGCCGATCGGCGATAGGCGCCCGAGGGCGAATCCGCACGGCCATGGGCGGAGTGGGGCCACCGGGCCCCCCTCGGCGGAACATCGACGATTGGGGGTCGATGCGTCCCCCCGTGGGCCACGCGGGCCTATATCCCCGATTCCCCCCACCGTTGCTCGGGGCCCCCGCTCTCCTCAGTAGCTCCCCTCGCGGGGGCCCTCGTGCAGGTCGACGCGCAGGCCCCGGGAGCCGGGGTGCGCGGCGCAGTACTGCTCGTAGACGTCCTCGAGGTGCTCGCGCACGAGGCACACGACGATGCCGTAGGAGCGCTCGTCCGGCGCGCTCACGCACAGCATGAGCGGATCGCGGGACTCCTCCTGCTCGGGCCCCTCCTGGAAGCCCGAGCCCCGGCCCCGCAGGCGCAGCTTCGCGCCCGACGCCTCCGCGATGCGCTTCACGTGCTTCCCGTGCTCCCCGATCAGCCTGCGCACCACGCGGAAGCTCGGCTCCTCCTCGATGCCGATGGTGAACTGGCACTGGCGCTTGCCTGGAAAGACAGAAAGCTGCCAGCGCTGGCGTCAGCCCAGCATAGTAATGTGCGGCGTCCCCCCCCCCCCTCCCCTCCCCCCCCCCCCTGAAGCGACGCGCGCACCGAGAAATCTTCTAGTAAATGCATCGTGGCGGGCGCATTCTGGCAACACCGGTTGGGAAACGATGTACTACAAGATGGTTGTATGATATGTCCGGGTCGGACGCACGCCTCCCAGGAGCACATATAGTACAATCATGTCCTTGTGCGCCAGGGGCGGCGGCGCCGCCAGTGGGGCCCAACGTAAATCTCAGGAATGCGCGCGGGCCGCCGATAATGTTCTCCACGCGAAACACAAACGGGTGACACAACCACATCGCGAATCGATAGGGCGCCTGGCAAACCGGGAACACTGGACAAGCCGACCCGCAGTAGGCAAACTCGTACTGTTGACCGTGGCCTGAACAACCAGTCGGCAATGCAGTTGCGACAGGAAGGAAGAGGACGAAGGAAAAAGGAGGAGGGAGGAGAGGGGAGGAGGGGGAGGGAGGAGGCGGACCTCCGATTCCTGTTCCGATTGCCGCCTGCGGCTGCCGCGCCGTGGCGCCGCTGCTGCCGATGCCGCCGGGGGGCGTCCTTCCAGGAGTCCTCAGCGGCGCCCCAGGCGCCCCGGCTGTTCTCGGCGGCGCCCTGTGCCGAGGGGCCGGCGCGAGCGGGGGGGGGCCTCCTGTCCGCCGCCGCACGGTTGTTGAAGCCTTGGAGGCCCCAGTCGCCCGAGGTGTCCTCGGAACACGCCCCGGATCCCAAAGCAGTGCGGAAATCGGCAGCGCGCACAAGGAGGTAGTGGAAGGGGAGGGTTTCTCAGAAGGATGCCGCTCCTTAGAAGGCGCCGCCCTACATCTAAAGACAAGGCCCGCGCCTCCTAAGAGGCAGCCTCCGTCCGAGAAGGCTCCTCCCCTAACCCCTGCACGCGAATGTGATCGGAGAGGGCGCGCGAAAGGACACAATGACCCTTCCGAGGACGCGAGAGGACACGCGAGAGGGCACTTTTTTGGGTCGCGGCCGCAAGCGAAGAGCGCAGGCGGCGAGCAGGGTGTCCGGGCCGACGGGCAAGCCTAATTAGCTACAGGGCGCGATTAGCTACTGAGCGCAGCACGAGCCGGCCGGGCCAGCTCACAAACGCGGCAGCTGGGGCAGCGGCAGCGGGGGGCTGGCTGGCTGATCGAACTGGAGCGCCCTGGGAAGCTCAACCAACGTGCAACCCTGCGGCAAATTGCCGGGGAATTCTGTGTTACGCGCTGTGGCGGCCAGTCGTGGTAAACGATGGGCCGTCGCCAGTGGGGCGCCAAGTCCAAGCTGCGCCAACGGCGTGTGTTGCCAGCTGAGCTGCTCCGCCGAAAAAACGCCGAATACCAAGCTGGTGGTGGGGTGGGCCCGGAGGGCGGCCGAAACTGCGAATGCTGAACCACTCGGAGCTGGCTGTGCCTCCAGGGGCCGTGCGCGGCGTGAGGCCAAGCTGGTGGGGAAGAACATCGCCAGCAAGGTGGGGCGCCCAGGGTGGAGCTGCGCTGTCGCAGCCGCGTGGTGCACGCCGAAGGCCACCATGGGACGGCCTTATCCGCCGCGTCCGCCATTCCCCGCGGGGATCCAGGGTCACCGTCGAATCCACCATACCACGTGGGCTTCCAGGGTCGCAGCTAACCGCCGCTGAAGGTGAGGAAACGTTGCCACTGACAGCGGGGGTCCAGGGCAACCCTGGGGGGTGGGGACGAGAGCCTCCGAAACCAGCCGGCACGCCTGGCGGCAGCCCGGCCAGAAGGAGACCCGGAGGGTGGGGCGGTGGGGAGACGTCACCTGACGTCGGGCCTCACCTTCGCCTCCCACATCTCGCTCAGCAGCGCCAGCACCCGCTGCCACTGCTCGCCTTTCTCGCACGCGCTGATCCCAGCATTGTAGAGAAGATGACGTTGGGCTCAAGCTGCGCCTCCCACATCCCGTTCAGCAGCGCCAGGGCCCGCTACCACTGTTCGCCCTTCTCGCACCCGCTGATCCCACCGCTGTAGCTGATGGCGTTTAGCTGCAGCTTCACCTCCCGCATCTCGCTGAGCATCACCAGAGTCCGTTGCCACAGCTCGCCCTTCTCGAAAGCGCTCATGCCAGAGTTGTGTCTATCTCGTGCGAACACACAAAGCAACTGCTCAAGCGATGCGACAGGCTAACACGGCGAATATGAAATTTTGGCGACCGCCTATTGGCTCGATTCTCACATCTTGCTGAACAGTGCTAAAGCCCGCTGTCACTGCTCGCCCTCCTTGCCCTGGGCTCCGCAGGTGGAGATGCTGCCACTGATGTCGGCATATCTGGCCATACGCAAATCTCAACACCCAGTGACTCAAAGCAGTGACGTACCTCTTCATGTATATCTTCTGGTAAATCAAGGAAGAGCTTCGTCGGAACCGGTGGTGGGCGCTCTCGGATGGCCCAACTGATAAAGAACAGCGCACCCATAGCCTGCTTCATGTGGTCAGTAGAGACGCCCGGCTTCACTTCGCGAAAATCTATCCTGGTGAGGGTGCCGCTTTCGTCAACGTGAGACTTCACGACATCGGTGAAGAAGGTCAGGCCACCCACAGCGCCAACGCCCGCAGCATCCTCTACGTTGCCAGGGGATCGTTTGCGAATCCACTGCTGCGAGACAGCAACCTCAGCTGTGGTAACTACACTGCCACGTCGTACATGGTTGGTGCTATATGTACGCTTGCTTCCGTTACGACGCTTGAGAACGTGGACTCCTGTGGGGCACACACGATTGCGAGCATGTCCGATACACCTAGCTGGATCATCTGTGGTTCCAGCGCTCGCGTGTAATGTCAGATCAGCCTCTTCGGGTTTGACTTTGCCGTTCGAGCGTGTCTCAGTGATGACGCTCGATTCGAGCGTAGTCCCACGCATCTCATCCAGCTGTACCGAAGCCCGCTGCAACAGCTCGCCCTTCTCGCAAGCACTGGTCTCATCGCTGTCCCCGATGGTGTTGGGCCGTAACTTTGCATCCTCCATCTTGCTCAGCAGCGCCAGGGCCCGCTGCCACTCCTTGCCTTTCTCGCACACGCTGATCCCAGCACTACAGCTGATGACGTTGGGCTCCAGCTTCGCCTCCCGCATCTCGCTCAGCAGCGCCAGGGCCCGCTGCCACTGCTCGCCTTTCGCGCACGCGCTGATCCCAGCACTATAGCTGATGACGTTGGGCTCCAGCTTCGCCTCCCACATCTCGCTCAGCAGCGCCAGGGCCCGCTGCCACTGCTCGCCCTTCGCGCACGCGCCGATCCCAGCATTATAGCTAATGACGTTGGACTCCAGCTTCGCCTCCCGCATCTCGCTCAGCAGCGCCAGGGCCCGCTGCCACTGCTCGCCCTTCGCGCACGCGCTGATCCCAGCATTATAGCTGATGACGTTGGGCTCCAGCTTCGCCTCCCGCATCTCGCTCAGCAGCGCCAGGGCCCGCTGCCATTGCTCGCCCTTCGCGCACGCGCTGATCCCAGCACTATAGCTGATGACGTCTAGCTCCAGCTTCGCCTCCCACATCTCGCTCAGCAGCGCCAGGGCCCGCTGCCACTGCTCGCCCTTCGCGCACGCGCTGATCCCAGCATTATAGCTAATGACGTTGGACTCCAGCTTCGCCTCCCGCATCTCGCTCAGCAGCGCCAGGGCCCGCTGCCACTGCTCGCCCTTCTCGCACGCGCTGATCCCAGCACTATAGCTGATGACGTTGGGCTCCAGCTTCGCCTCCCACATCTCGCTCAGCAGCGCCAGGGCCCGCTGCCACTGCTTGCCCTTCCCGCACGCGCTGATCCCAGCATTATAGCTGACTAGGGCAGACCTGTGGACTCCGTCCACGACATCAGCTCGACGTGGCCAGTTGAAGGCGCTCTCCACACCCTCCAGGACCTCCTGCTCTCCTGTGTTCCTCAGCTGCTGCTGCTGCTCGGAGGTCCTGCTGCTTCCTCCCTCCTCCTCCTCCTCCGCCTCCTCCTCCTCCTCCTCCTCTTCCACCTTCTTCTCCTCTTTCGCTGGATTCTCCATGCCCTCGGTCGGCAATCGTCGATCCTACGACGACTCTCCCCAACAGAGAAACATCGAAGGCCCTCGGAGCGTCCAACATTGTTCTTTTGTGCCTTCGATATGCCGGTCGCCTCTCGTCCGCTCCCCCCCTCCTGGAAGCAATTCTGAGGCCACGTAGGGCTTCGTGGGGGCCGTTTGGGGATCTCTTGGGGCGTTTTTGCCTGCGATATGCCTGTCGCCTCTCGTCCGCTCCCCCGCTCCTGGAGGGAATTCTGAAGCCACTGAAGGCTTCGTGGGGGCCGTTTCGGAGCCTCTTCGGCCTTGTTTTTGGCCTCCCGGGGGGGTCTCAGGGCCCTCTCGGGCCGTCTTGGGTGCCTCTTGGGCCGTCTTGGGGCCGTCTGAGGCCCGCCTCGGCGCCTCTTGGGCCGTCTTGGGGCTCTCTTGGGGTCCTCTTCGGCCGTCTTGGAGCGGTCGGGGGGACTTCTTGGGCCGTCTTGGAGCGTCGGGAAGCCGAAGAGGCGAGGAGGCCGAAAACATAGAAAAACACAATAAAAATCAACGATTTCTGTCGCTCGGGGCCCTCTTGGGAGGCCTCTTGGGAGGCCTCTTCGGGCGTCTTGGACGCCTCTTGGGCCGTCTGGGGCGACTCTCGGGCGTCTTGGGCCCGTCTTTAAGCGTGCCGGGGCTCTCCGGGGCCGTCTTGGGGGCTTCTGGGGGCCCTCTCGACATGTCCTGGAGCCTGCCTGGGCGGCCCGGGGCGGCCCGGGGCCAGCCCGGGGCGGTTTCGGTGCATTGGGGCCTGCGCCCTTCTGGCACGCACTGGGCCCTGCAATGTAGTAGAGATGACGTTGGACTCCAGCTTCGCCTCCCACATCTCGCTCAGCAGCGCCAGGGCCCGCTGCCACTGCTCGCCCTTCTCGCACGCGCTGATCCCAGCATTATAGCTGATGACGTTGGACTCCAGCTTCGCCTCCCACATCTCGCTCAGCAGCGCCAGGGCCCGCTGCCACTGCTCGCCCTTCGCGCACGCGCTGATCCCAGCACTATAGCTGATGACGTTGGGCTCCAGCTTCGGCATCTCGCTCCGCTGCCACTGCTCGCCCTTCTCGCACGCGCTGATCCCAGCACAGCGCTCCCCGCTGCCACTGCTCGCCCTTCTCGCACGCGCTGATCCCAGCAGTATAGCTGATGACGTTGGGCTCCAGCTTCGCCTCCCGCATCTCGCTCAGCAGCGCCAGGGCCCGCTGCCACTGCTCGCCCTTCTCGCACGCGCTGATCCCAGCACTATAGCTGATGACGTTGGACTCCAGCTTCGCCTCCCACATCTCGCTCAGCAGCGCCAGGGCCCGCTGCCACTGCTCGCCCTTCGCGCACGCGCTGATCCCAGCACTATAGCTGATGACGTTGGGCTCCAGCTTCGCCTCCCGCATCTCGCTCAGCAGCGCCAGGGCCCGCTGCCACTGCTCGCCCTTCTCGCACGCGCTGATCCCAGCATTATAGCTGATGACGTTGGGCTCCAGCTTCGCATCCCGCATCTCGCTCAGCAGCACCAGGGCCCGCTGCCATTGCTCGCCCTTCGCGCACGCGCTGATCCCAGCAGTATAGCTGATGACGTCTAGCTCCAGCTTCGCCTCCCACATCTCGCTCAGCAGCGCCATGGCCCGCTGCCACTGCTCGCCCTTCTCGCACGCGCTGATCCCAGCACTATAGCTGATGACGTTGGGCTCCAGCTTCGCCTCCCACATCTCGCTCAGCAGCGCCAGGGCCCGCTGCCACTGCTTGCCCTTCCCGCACGCGCTGATTCCGGCGCTGTAGCTGAAGACGTTGCAATACATCCTCTTTAAAACCATAACCCGTAGTACCGACAGAGCTTGCTGCCACTGCGTGGCTTTTCCGAATGCCCTGACAGATGCAATGTCCTGGCCTGGGCTTGCTTTTGCACGTGGTTCGGGCGATTCGATGGGCGGGTGCAACGGGTGCTTCGCCGCGATCCAATGCTCTGTCCAGACGCCTGTTGGAGGCCGCACGTTTTGGAGGTCGCCTCGAGATCCTCGGCGGATGTCTGTCATATTAGAATATATTGGGCAACGCTTTAAGACTGGCGTGGCCCCGACCAGAGTGCCTCCAACAAGATTTAAGGACCGCAAATGTACAAAGCAGGATGGTGAAACGATGAAACTCCGAATTGCCTTGAGCCCGAAGGGCTTGAGCCAGGCTACGGGCGCGAGAGGACATGCGAAGGACGCGCCTTCGAAGGGAGCAACCCTCTTCTAAGCTTATGAAAGGCAATGCCTGCTACAGCCACAGGTCCCCCAGAAAGGCCAAAGTACCTCCCAAAGTAGGTTTCGGAATAGGAATAGAAGTACCCACCGAGCCCAACAAGTACCTCCCAAAGTAGCCCCCAAAGTACCTTCAAAAAAACAAAAAGTAGCTCCCGACAGGTTGTTGGCATGCTACAAGTAGTCGAATGATTTTTCGGTCGTTCGTGCATCGGTCTTCATATTGTTCGCACATCATTTCTTATTGTTCGTTACACATGCCTTTACTTATTTCATGTTTCCAGCGACCCTTGAGGTTGCGTACTTCCCCCTCCAGGTTCCTAGGGCGCCAGAGAATATTGGGAACCGAATTTAGTTTTCAAGCCTGACAGGCCCCGCTGGGGCGGCGGATCGCACCGCATATGTGTCACGATGTATATTGCAGTTCGTAGTTCATGCCCCGCGTGTTGGCCACGTAGTTTACCCCACTTAGCTTGGGCACCGTCGGTTGCACCACATAGTTGCCTTTTGGATGATGTTCTCATCGTGCGATGCGCTATGGTTGCGCCTCAGAGCTACCGCCACGTAGATGGCCCCGCTTGCTCCACCACATAGCTTGCACCACATAGCTTGCACCACATAGCTTGCACCCCCCTCCCCCGCCCGTGCTCTCCAGCCATTTTGGCTTCCAGCCCCACCCCTTCGCCATGAGCGGGGGTGGGGTAGGGTGGGCCTCCGTGGCGGAGGCCGCGGCCGAGGCCGCCGATGGCGGCGCCTCGGGCTGGGCTGCCGCCGCCGCAGCCGCCGAGGCGGCCGCCGCCAGCCCGCCCGACGGCTGGGGCGCGCTGGCGGCCAGCGCCGCGGCGTCGGCGGAGAGCGCCGAGGGCGCCGAGGCGTTCTCCCACCACCTTCCCCCCTCCACTTCCCACCCTCCCCTCATCCTACTCCTTCAGGCGGAGGTTGCCGTGGCGGCTGCCGCCGACGGCGCTGGGTCCGCGGACGCGTTCGGCCACGCGCTGACGCCCGCGGACCTGGCGCCCGCTGGCAGCGTGGCTGCGCGGCGCAAGGCCCCTGGGGATGAATGAGAGGATGGATTGAGAGGAGGGGGAGGAGGAGAATGGGGATGCCGCCTTCACGGCTAGGGCGAGGAGGAGGATGGGGATGCAAGGTAGGATGAGGCGAGGAGGGATAGGAGGAGGAGGAGGAGGCGAGGGGAGGATAAGGTGAAGGGGGGAGAGGGAGGTGAGGGAAGGAGGAGGAGTGGAAGAGGCTGTAGCGGGGTTGCGGCGTCCGAGGCGGCGTGGCACCCGCTCGAGCATCTTCGGAAGCGGCTCCGAGATGCGTGGGGTCACCGCGTCGCTGCTGGTGGGCGTGAGCAGCCGCTGCCAGCCGCGGAGGCGGCGCTGGCTGCCGCCCGCGACGCGGTCGTCGACGAGGACGACTGGGCGCTCTTCGGGCCCAGCGACGCGGAGGAGCTGCTCGACGGGGACGCCGACGCCATCGCAGGCCCAGTCCCGCATGCCGACGCGGAGGTGGCCTTGGCAGCTGTGGCCCGCGCGCCAGTGCTGGCGCCGGCGCGGGCCCAGGCTCGAGTGGAGGAGCTCGCGCAGCTCGTGGAGCAGACGTGCGCGATCGCGGAGGCGAACTCGCGCACGGAGCGGGACTTCGTCGCAGCGGCGCAGCGTGGTGTGGTGCAGTACTTCCTGGATGAGAAGCGCACGACGCTGCCATTCCACCAGGAATGCAGCAACCTCGGCGTTGGCCGCCGCCGCGCTGATGGCATCCTGCGCGCTGTTGCCGCCGCGTGCGTGTCGGTGCAGAATCGGGACGTGTGCAGGATGATTCGCCAGTTGACGCGGTCCATCTTGGAGCGAGGTGGCCGAGCACTGACATGGTCAGAGAGCGTCAGGTATGATGAGACGCCGATGCACATGAGGCTCACGGACACCGAGAAGGCGGCGGCAGCAGCAGCGGACTCGGCCATGCCAGCGGCCATCGTGCCCGCCGACGGGCAGCCCAGGCTGGTGCCGATCAGCGCCAGCTGCTCGAGCTCGCACGTCGCCAAGATCTTGAACACTGAGCGGGTCTTCTCGATGCTGTACCACCTCCCCGACGTCGGGTACGTCGGCGTGCGCGTGCCGCTGGAGACGCCCGTCCAGTCGCTGAGCAGGACCACAGGCGAGGTGCTCTACGACGCGCTCAAGGCCAGCCGCCCGCCGATAGACGACGACGTGCTGCAGCAGTTCGGCCGACGACAGCGGCTGGTTTGCACGGACGGCGCGAGCGGGATCACCAGGATGGAGCGCAATTTCGCCCGTGAGGAGGCGGGTCGGAGCAGCACGTTGAAGGTCAAGTGCGAGGTGCACGTGGTCTTCAAGTGGCACGCGTGCGCGTTCCACCACGTGAAGGCCGACACCAGCTGCATGGTGCACGCGGCGAAGGCGCTGCGCTGGCAGGACGGCATGCGCTCGTTCAGGGCAGCGCTCCGACAAGAGCTGCAGGACACGTTGCAGTACCGCTGCGACATGCGGCCTTCGCCTGTGGACGTCGCCCGCAGCACCAAGTGCTTGGACCTCTTCTTGTCGGAGACGTCGGCCCATCGGCGACTTCGTCGCGTCGTCATCCTCTCGCTGGCGAACGGGGACTGGGCCAAGAGGCATTGGGTTCACAAGCTCGCGGCGCACCCACCCCCATAGCGCCCCCCCAACCTCTAATGTGTAAAACGTGCGGTCTGCTCATAGCATGCAGCCGCCATTCTGGATGTCGGGTGTTCTATGTGTAGTTTTGGACGGCTTCCAGGCTCGACCGTGGCCTCGGGTGTTCGGGCGAGGGGTTTGGGCACCTGGGTCGCGGTAGCTGGGGGGGGGGGGTAGGGGGTGGGCGCGCCATGAGTTTTACCCAAGGGGCTGTGTGGAGCACTTTTGCGACGGCTGCTGCATGTCCCGTGCCGATTGCGTGTCGAAGTTCACGACGCTCTTCGTGGCGGCGGTCGCGGCAACAGATCCAAGGGTTTGGCCGAGTTCGAGGTGGACGGGCTTCGACCACAGCGTCGATTGGATGGGCGTCTTGGAGTCGTGCCACGGCTTGCTGACCCGCGTCTTCCTCAAGTGGTCGCGCGTGAAGGTTTGGTGGTTTTTTGTTGGGGGGGGTGCATTTGATGTTAAAACCGTGCCAGTTGCGACCGAGCCATCGTCTAGTTCAGCCTCGTGCACCCCCCTCCCCCGCGGGCAATGTCCTACCTGGGTTAGGGGGGGGGCAGCGCGAGGAGGAGAATGAAGGGAGGTTAGGCCAGCGTCGGACTGGAGGAGTGGGATGGGGGGGCAGTGAGGACGGCGTGAGGAGCGACGGCGACGACGGACGTGATGCCGAACATGATGACGGTATGGTGGTGGCGACTGCATCGGAAACTAGAAGTCACAGTAGGTGTTCGGGCTGGCCGCCCTCCCCAGTCGAACGCAAACCTCATCCGTTCCCGCCCAGTCCAGGGCTAGAGAGGGCCCTCGTGGGGCTCATGCGAAGGGGTGGCCGCTGGCACGTTTTTACTTGCACCCCCTTCGGCCTTCGAAGACCTACCAGCTCACGGACAGCAGCACGCTCGAGGACGCGCTGCGCTTGGAGAACCAGCCAGGCGTTGACATGGCGGGCCATGCCGCAGGTGGCGGCGCACCAGCGGCCAGCTCGGAGCAGGAGCCCGAGCGCGCCCCCTGCGGCGGCGCCCGCAAGACCAGCGCCGACGAGGATCGCAAGAAGGAGGACTCGATCCATCGGTATTGGGGCGCCAGGTGGTTGCACCATGGCAACGCTGGCGCGAAGCTCACGGTGATCAGGAGGGTCCTGGAGCCGCTGAGAAAGATCATGTCCAAGTACTTGGACCACGCTGGCGTCAAGCACGACGGCCGGATGCAGTACCTCAAGGTCCAGGCTGCGGCGGGGAGGTGCGGTGACTGCACCGACGAGCTGCTCCCAATGGTCGCCGCGTGCAAGCAGGTGTTCGAAGGCGAGTTCTTCCAGGACCTGAGGGCCCTCATCCTGACCGAGGGGCCGTGGGACATCATCACGCCTGGGCTCAGGACGCGTGACCTTCGCACGTTGGCGTTCGTGATGCTGGGCGAGATCGGCTGCCTCTGCCACGAGCTCACCGTCGTTCACTCCATGTACCCCTTCAAGATGTTCACGCTGCTGGGCGGGGGCGGGGGGAGCGCGGCCGACATCGAGAACGACTGCGACGACATGAAGGACGAGTGGAGCAAGGCGTTGATCGAGAAGTACGCGAAGACCGATCAGGGCTTGCTCAACCCAGACCTCAACGCTGAGCTGATGCACGCAGCCCTCAGCATCAGGCGTGAGACTTGCAGCATCGAGTCCAGCCACGCTGCCATCCGACGGAGCCTCGCCGCGCT